ATCAACCAGATTCTTGTCCGCTTTCTGTTTGTTGTTCATCTCACTTAGCAGTCGGCAACCGAGCATTTTGCTCGTCATCGCTTTACCCGTTTCAGTCTACATTTCACTTGAGTATTCAGGATGATTTGTATGATTATAAAAACCTTCTCTTCTTTTTGAACTTTTTTCCAAATACTCGTTCTTCTTTACTCAATCCTTTCTCGCTTCTTCAAATCGGTCAACGGTCAAACCAAAAACTTACTTCTTGTTTTAATTGTGTGTTTCTTTGGTTTACCATTCGGTTCTTTAAATTCAACTCTTATTGCCGACATTTTAATATCACGATTTCAAAACAACTGTGTTCGTTTAACCCCTTGCTACTTTACCCGGTTTTTTTCACCTTTCACTTCGATTGTTGTAAGTCATTTCACATTCTATTTTTTTTATCCCTTGCTGGCTGTCGGCTCTCTGTCTGCATTGATCTACTCAAACCATAACTGAATTCATCCTTTAACATTCATCAACACTATTATTTTTGATTGGTCAATTTATCAAACTCTTCATCAGGACATTCGAACGACGTGCTTGCCACATCTCACTTATAATCCACATCTGATTAGCTGGCCAAGTATCATCATTCCAATCCTCAAGAGTCTCAGCCTACAACCGGCAAATCTGATATAACCGAGTTAAAGAATTTGATGAGATACTAACGACTTGTGAATTTGACGAGTATTGGTGAGAATTTCCCTTGATCATCCTTTTCATCGTTCTCTTCCAGCGGGTTTTTTCTTTCGCTCTGGGATTGACCTGTCAAGTGGTCACACCTGGGTACCATGTCCTATCATGATTAGATTTGACGTGGTGGGATGCAAGATGTTCTGAGAAGTCGAAAGGTTTACTCGGTTCAAGTGATCGGCCCCGTCTTTAGTTCATTTCCCCAAGTGGCTCTTGCCGTGTCACACCACTCATTCCTTGTTAGTGATCAATACACATCTTGATATCTTGACATTCCTGAAGAATGCGGGGCGTACGTGGTCACTGTCGACTAATCTCAGCCTAGCTCTCTGATTGAGGAAAGAGTTTAAGACCTTACAAGCCAGCCTGTGCGCTATCATCAGAGCAAGTTTCTTTGATTGCCGGATTTATCCCATTCTGATCAAGCCACTGAACCGAGAAGCTCATGATGATTTTAGCCAGACTAACTCCTGTGCTTCCATCAGAGGCTGAATTCTTCATGTCTCTCTCTCTCTTGATTAAGTATGTTTTCTAGCGCTCGAACGATGATAGACTTGTGTGACCCCTCTATGACCTACACACATATCACCCATTCATCACCCTTGCGCTCTCTCTCCTGTCTCTGTCTCTGTTTACATGCTTTCTCTCTCTCTCTCTCCCTTCGCTATAACACAAGCCACCGTTACACTAGAACTCGACCTTTCTTGACGATTTTGGACTGAAACTGCCCTGTGCCCTAGATCTGTGGGCACAGGTACCTCGGATGTCTAGCCAATCAGATCAAGCTGACTATCTTTTCATTTATTCATGTCCTGGATCACGTCCCATCATCTCGATGCCTCTTTGTTCTCATAAACAACTTCAGACTTTTGACGCTAAAGCCTGCGGAATTGATTGCAAGAGATCTACTAAAGCTCTTAAGCTATCAAGATTGATTTTGATTTCATTTGATTGACTTTACTCTCTTACATCGCTTCTGGCACTGCCTGCGTTTGATAAGTTTTCTTGACTGAGGATGTCCTTGAGCTTAATCAAGTGCTGAGTAGGTATCTTGGACTGACTAATTTTAAATTACCACTATTTACAACTTATCAGTACTCAGCTTGAGTTCCTGGTGTCTTGAATTGATATCTTAAGACTCTCTCTCTTCCTCCGTTCGGCTTTCCAAAGTCTCACCATTTAAATTCTTGATCATCTCTTACGCTTCCTGACATTATTCATATCTAAACATTTCCTTTTAACCATTCGTCATTCGAACTGGGTATTCACTTTAAACTTCTTTCTACGTATTGGCGTTCGTCAATCAGATCTCATTACTGACCTGTATTGCTTCTTTCTGCTTCCTTCTTTGATCAGATTTCTTTTAATTGTTGACTACGCTACCACCACTCCACATTGTCATCACCAACACGACCACGACCACCTCCACTATTATCACCACTACCACCACCACCATACCAATCACAATCGTTCCCTTCACGTCGGCTTCTCGTCTTCAAGGTTTCGACCCCACATCACCATCAACTTAATTTACTGCAAATCTTTTTGTGTTGATTGTGTCTTCGTCTCGTCCATCTCTCATCACTAATTCTTCTCTCACATTCACCTCTCCATCACAGCTCTCTCTATATCTTGTGATTTGTCTTTGTTTGTGTTCTATATATATACATATCTTTGATCTCATATTTCACTCTTCGGGTTTCTTGCACCGATCAAACTACATTTCCACCTTGCATTATCGGCCCTGTCACTTTTGATCGACTCATCAAGCTTCGCATTATCAACATATTTTCTGACACGATACTTTCTGGCCACCTCTTGACATCTCGAACATTATGGCTTCAAGCTCTCAAGTACTCATGTCCTCGTCTCCCACTCCTCATCACATTCACACTTTTCGACGTTTTGCGCCTCAACCATCTCCTCTCGCCCATACCACCACTTTCTTCCGAAGACCGCACATGGATGCCGAACCTTCACTTGATCCTGACGGTGAAGAATGCTTAGATTATGACGAGGAGTATACGGAAGAAGTAGAATTGGATCAAGAAGATGTGCAGTCTGCTGAAGAAGAAGAATATGAGGATGGAGAACAGAGTGTGAATTTGGAGGTCAATGCTTTATCGGGTGAACATGCTCCTACAAGTCCAACGTTGGATGCATCGTTTGCAACCTCAATGTAAGTCCATCGCTTGCTTGGATTGCTTGGATGGTAGATGTATGCGGAGTTTGTTTGACCGGAACACTGAGCCAACTTCTCTCCTTTTCCCAATCTCTGTTTCGCTTTGGTTCATCTCAATTTGGCAATCTTATCAATTCATCAACCGATCCTTTTTCCCCATCCACTTCAAACTCTTTACCCGTCCAACTCAACACCGGCTGACTACACCACCTGTCTTTGGGTTCATCCCGTCTCAACTCGCCCATCATCGCCTGGCTGTCTAACTAACATCCTCAATCCGTTGAACTCTTTTCAAATTCGATCTCTTTACTGATTCTAGGTCTATCGGCACCGCTCCCCCAACTCCTTTACTTCCTAATAACCGTTCTCAGCCCCTCGCGGCTCAACGACCGACGGGTCATCCTACACCTCCCTCACAACGATATGCCTCTCGAACCGCTCCATCAGCTTCTCCTTTTCTGCCTGCTCATCTCTTTGCTCCCAATCCTGACGCTCATCCACCTTCCTCTTCACCTTATCGCATGGACATCTCCCCAGCTAACGGCTCACCTACAATCGCGGCCAACTTCTTTAACCCACCTAAGCCTTCAAACTCCCAGTTTGACCCCTTTGGATCCTCCTCATCGCATGTACTCTCGAGTAGTCCTCCAACGGATCGGCCTACGATTGGTTTGAAGAAGACACGGTCACGCGCTAGAATGTGCAATGGATTCTTTGAACCCCGGTCAGATGTCCAGGTAAGCGCGTCACTGGCATTTGTGTGACATGATGCTTATCAGTACTCATCATTGTCCTTTGATCTCAGCCACTTACGACGTCGGATGAGGAATCTGATCGACTTGGTTCAGATGGTATGGATATTGACACCCCTGGATACTCTCAACCCGGTCGAAACATGTTCCAACCATTAGTTTTTGTCGGTGACTCCACCGACTCCGCCCGTCGCCCTTCACGAGCTGAACGATCAGGAAGTCAGGGTAGCATTGGAAAGAGAAGTCGATCTGATGATGATGATTTTGAGGACTCGGGATCAAGCAACTTGGGCAGTGAAATGCGAAGTGTACAACTGCAACATCCCCGCACTCGCTCTGATGACGGACTCTCCTCCGGCCGTCAACATCTTTCTCCTGGCAACCTCCATTCTTCTGGCCGGACAAAAACGATGCCTGAGACATCACTGGTGTCAGGATACTCTAGAACTCTTCAACTTCCATCATCGCCCATACTCGCCTGCTCTTCCTCAGCTCGGTTCAATGCCTTTGATCACAATATGTCCTCTTCCCCAAGTCAAATGATGAGTCCAAGTGTCAAAGCTGCTGCAAAACTTACTTTAGGACGTAAGGCTGGTGAACGGTCCCTTTCAGGTTTCAAATTTCCAGTTTCCAAGGCTTCTACTGGTGCTCAAGTTGCTCACGTTCGGGCTGGTAGCAGCGGATCTACCAGTACCCGTAATTCTCATTATCAACCCTCTGCTGGCGGTAGTCTCGGTGCATCCACTCTTGGTGGATATCCCAAGAGGCCTACCCTAGGAGTTGTTCAAAGCGCTGCAACATTATTCAGCCGTCATCAGCCCCAACTATCTTCTACCTCCAATTCCACGGGTGAAAATGAAGCTCAAGGATTCGGAACCCGTCAACGAGACGCAGTAGGTCGACCAGCATCCAAGAGTCGTCGGGCCATTAGTTTTGTTGCTGCTGAACGTCATTTACTCATGTCTGACGGTGGTGATGAAGACGAGGAAGAAGATGAAGATGGACACGCCGGTTTCAACTGTTCCCCAGCACCCCGTGGTGTTAGCAACACTTGGCCCAAGTATGGGCTCAACGGTGCACATACTCGAATGGCTAGCGAAACAGTTCTAGGTGCTAAACCTCGCAAACGATCGCCTCCCCCCGCACCCTTCAACTCGCTTGCCCTTGCTCCTCCTAGTCGAAATATGTTTGAAAATATGCTCCAGAGTCCCAATCGGCCCTCACCTCATCAGCAAAAGGCTGTGGTCGGCATCAGCAGTCGCACGATCGAGAGTCCGGTAGGAATGGGCTTCAGTGAGAAGGAAAGAGCTGGGAAGATCTTACCATGTCACAAAGTCTCTAACGATGGTCTGATGAGGATCTCACCTAGTACGATGGATGACCTCTTGACTGGTCGATATGACAGCAGTATCTCTAGGAAGATTGTGATCGATTGTCGGTTTCGTTACGAGTACGAAGGTGGCCATATCAAGAACGCCGTCAATGTGGGTGAAAAGGACTTGGCCGAAGAAATGCTCTTAGCTGGACAGCTATTTGATGGAACATTGGATGTGCCTGAACCTAGTGAATCTGGAAAATGTGATGGCAATGGCGTCATGAAGAAGGTTGTATTAGTCTTTCACTGTGAATATTCAGTGATGAGGGCCCCTACAATGTGAGTATCAAGTCTGGTTTTTTCCTGTGTCTCAGCTCTGACTGACGTCGTCCTTTTCCTTAGTGCCAAACATATCAGAGAGAAAGATCGACACTTGAACATGCCACATTACCCTGCTTTACATTATCCTGAAGTTTACATTTTAGAAGGAGGTTTTGCTAGTTACTTTGCTCACTCTCCCCAACATTGTGATGGGACTCATGTCCGAATGGATGATCCCAGTTATAAAACCGATCGCCATGCAGACCTTAATTCGTTCAGAAATAAGGAATTCAGTCGAGCCAAGTCCTTTACATATGGTACAGGTGACTCAAACGGCAGCGGGATGGTAGTCAAGAAGAAGGCATCAAAGAAAATGATCAGAGATGAGAATTCGATTGCCGAAGAAGATGAATGTAGTCCATCACATGATAAGCGAAGGTTTGGGAAAGATGAGGGAGTCAAGAGCATGGGAAGTTTAGGTAGAGCTGGTGGATTGAATGCCATGCGAAAATTAGATTCAAACTCGATGGGATTCGGACGTAGTAACCTTGGGATGATGAAGAGATGAACAAATTTATTGTTATTAATTACTATATATTATGATTTTTTTGACTTGGTACATATATATTATTTTTATATATCTATTTACGCGTGTTTGATATGAAAGACGAGACTGAGGACGTTTTGAAGATTTTAGTGGGACGTGTTGGAGTTCAATCGGTTCCCCTTTGCTCATTTGCTCATGATGATGATGACGACGATGCGATTTTAGATAATCTCATCATTTCTTTTGCTTTGAAGGTTTTTTTATTGTTATTTTTGCGGTGTGGACTTGAAAGATCATCTATCCCACATCTCTTCACCCCGACCATATGTCTTCTAATAATCTACCCACCAAAAATTGATGATCTTGAACAATTGTGTGTGTATGTGTGTTTGTGTGTTTTCTTGCTGTTTTTTTGTTGTTTTCTTCTGTTAATCTTTTTTTTTTCAAAAAACTCACGAAGAGAAGGAAGAAACAAAATATCACGTTCATCTTTTTAACATTTTATTATGGTTTCTTGATTGGTTTTTTTCTAATTTTATTTTTTTGATCATGTTGTTGTGCTTGTGCTTGGTTCTGGTGTTTTTCTTTTTTTCATGATTTTTCTTCATAATTTTTTTTTGATTGATTGATTGATATCTTCGATTGTTGATGGTTTAATCTTTTTCATTATTTGTGATCATTGATGAACTTTTAGTTGTTGATATACATTTTTATTATTATTTTTGAATATATATATAAGTATATATATATATCTTTGTTTGACATTAACAAATTACTTGTGAGCCATGATCGTTGAGTGAGAGAGAATTGATTGAACAAATTGCGAGTGACACTTTTGAACTGAAAGGATGGAAGTATAACATCAAGTAGAGTCGCTATTAACTCTCAGTCTTGATCTTATGATGGTTTGCTCAAATTCACAATCGAACTCATGAGAAGACGGTCAATCATGTTGTCGACGCCTTTTCCTTCCGAAGATTCAGAATAAACATCCCACACACAAGCGGGATAACATCCCAGACACAAGCGGGATGTAATCCTCTGGAAAGCTAAATGCTAGGACTGTTTGCCAAGATATTATTAATGAGGAACTGTAGGACACATCAGAGTGGAACTTGGTCATGTTTTGGCGCTGTCATCCATCAGTAGTAGTGCACCAGATCATATGTTTAGAGCCCTCTTGTTGGAATGGAAACCAACATTTGGTTTATCAAAAGGTTTTTGCTACCATTTATGCTTAGGCTGATGCCATCATGGTATTCAAGTGCCAAGGATATTCCAGAAGCCTTCAGCAGCAGAGAAAAGGTTGGTGAGCTTGGATGATCAGTGCTAAAACTCATAATGAAAAGTTTTAGCCAGAATCAAGGCATGAAGGCCTGTTTGCAAGGTGTACAAGATAGCGTAGAGTAGACAAGTTATGTACATTCATTTGCAATTGACTCGTCACTTAGAGCATTGTCACCAGACCTGGGCCACAACCCATCATACCAGACAGGATTTTAAAAACATGATCTGTGTTGTCTTCCCTTCAGGAGGAGCACCAAGCACTGGCCCGCCTGGAACAGTCTGGACTCCAAAATCCTACACCAACCATATTATTCCATGATCATCATGTTGTGTGATACATACAATATGCCTAGCTTTTTTTAGGAGAAATGATGGGTTCAATTGGTATAAAAATGTTACATGGTTGCTCAAACATTCAAAAAAAGTATTCAAAAAATCCTGGGGGTCTAGGCCAAGATACCTGAAGCAGATGACTAAAAGAATCACACAGCTGGTCAACCATGATTTCTGGATCACAAACTGGGTGTGTTGAATACACCTTATGTGACTCTTATGTCTGTTGACAGTCCAGGGTTGTTGGTGGCAATGCTCTCAAGGCATTATATATACAAAGAATCTCAAAGAATATCATGAGATTCCCTAGAAGGGATATTTTGATACTTTGAGGAAAAAATAATCTAAGAGTGGGAAGTATCAGTGTCCAGAAACATCCAATATGAGCATCATGAGGTAATTAATATTATATGTCCTTGTAAAGGTAAAGAGATGATTATTGAATAAGGTAAACCACATAGTAAAATAGCTGTAGTGATGTGTGACACAAAAAATACACATCATTTGTCTTTGCAAACTCACTGTGGCTGCCTGACTTATTCTTGTGTGTAAAAGCTTGCTACTACAGTAGCTAAAGGCTACTCTGTGCTACCTCTCACCACCAGATCTGGGACTGATTCCAAATGTGGAGACTTTTTTCAGAAAAAAAATAACTCCAGATGGATAAATAGCACCATAGATTAGGTGGTACATGAGGCCTTAGGCTGAGTACCTAAGACCCTAAGGTAGCTTATTTAGGGTCATAGGTACTCAGAACGGAAGCTACTGAGTTGCCTAAGCAGAGAATTTAGGTACCTAGCCTATATCCGGTCCCAAATGTTAACCCTCAAGAGAGAAAAAAAATCATAAAATGCTTCAGATGACCTTGAGAAGATATAGAAAGATTAAGCTCCCTCATCTGATTCCATCTGTGTAGTCATCTCCTTGAAATATTGGTATTGAAATTTCTATCCATGAGCTCAAAAACAAAATTTGGTTTGGCTGGGGAGATTGTAGTACAGAGTAGCCTTTAGCTACTGTAGTCACCAGTAAAAGATCACAGTGTGATCACAAGCTCAAGAGAAGGACAAGCAGGACTAAAGTTGAGAAGGTTATGTTGACAGTTGTTCCAGAGTGTTGTATTCAGTGTGAAAATCTGGACATGAGCACAAGATGCCAACCTCAAAAAGATAATTGCCATAGAAGAACATAGAAACTCCCAGAACCCCATAATTGAACAAAAAACTTATTTGAGGCATGAGTGCAGAATGAGACAAACAAGACTGCATGAGCTTCCACTCAGCAGTTGAGTTGGCCAAGAAGGTCAATAAGGTAAGATCTGATGCAGAAATGTAGGATAGTTGGCTATAATTTTGTAATGTAGAGTAGTCAGCCTGGCCCTGATGGTGTTTAAATGACAATGTGTAAGAGGTTGATTTGATGGTGATGACCTCTTTCTTACCACTGTTCTAGAACAATCACTCTCTCTTCCATTTTCCACTTGTGAAATGGTTGGCAACCTTTACTCCATGACACACACAGTTGTGATAGTCTTCTTATATAGTTTACCCTGTTTAATGGAAAACAGAGTGGTCCAGTCAAACTGTAGGCACTCTCTTTGTGAGGAGTATGCGTCTGTTAGGCGTACTCTTCACAGAAAATGGAGTAGGAAAAGGAAGGTGCAGTCTTCACGTGGTACACCCAAGTGAAGACTACAGCTAGTTGACCTCTAAGAAGAGGATTTGAGAAAGGGAAAAGAAATATAAGGGCAATAAAGAGCTAATGTGCTCTAACCTCGTGAGACTGCGAGGGGCAGGCTTTACACTTTGGTAAACCAAAGATCCTGAAGGCTACTTTGGACTCCTTAAAAAGGAGGAAGCTTTGCTACTTTAAGGTTTATTTCTAGAGACAATGAATGCCCTGGGCTCGTAGAAATCAGTACCTTGGGTGTTCAGCAATGGAACCCGTAATGCTCAAGAATGGTCTTTAACAAGCTGCACAACTAACCACGTACTTGAAGATCCTCTCAGTAGGAGTCAAGTAAAATGTGGTTCTGTGTTGTGATTGTAGTAAAAGATGGGGGGTGATTGTAGGGAAGAAGGGGGGGTTTATATAGTCTCAGTCCCAGTGTCAACTTGTGGTTGGCGTGTGAGTCTTTTCTATTCACGTGTCAACTTGTGGTTGACACTTGGGTTAGGTTTACTATGTATTTGATACATTACATACATGTGTTTAAGTGGCTCTTGACACTGAGCCTTGAGATGTAGCTTATGGCTTTATACAATATTTTGATATTACATATGGTACTGTTAGCCCATGGTCCTGTAATTAGGGCTCAGGGCTGACACTCTTCATACATTCAATCTTCAATCAAACAACACGGGAAAGTTAACCTTGTAGTGAATTTCTCAGATACCACCAACTGTTTGATTCTACCATGAGCCAGGACACAAAGAGATCATCTATAATGAATCAAACTCTCAAGTGTTGGGAGACTTTGACATTCCGTTTCCCTTGATCCATCATGCCTAGGTGAGAAGCCCACCTCTCCTGCTGTTGTGAAACTTATACATGCAACAATGTAGATGACTGATGATGACTTGTTTTAACCCATCAGAAACATCTGCACACACTGCCTGTGTACTCAAAAGACCACAACCTTTTGAGGGTAAGTGACTCTTGTATCCTTAATTCCATCATATATGTGAAACTGACACAACCAACACCTTCCCTTGATTTGCATTGAGAACACTCATAGACCCCAGTGAGGATGAGGATGAGCCCACTCCTACTATGGACATGGAGGGTGCACACAGTATTTATAGCAGGTTTATAGAATAGAGGCAAATTATTTGTGTAAACTTCATCCTTCATTACACTTCTCACAGTGTGATATTCTCAAAAGTTTTCTATTTATCTAATGTACATTCATGGCAGGTCTGTTCTTAAACTCAATGAATTGGGTCCTTAAAGAGAAACAAGCCACAATATGTTCTACTTGAAATGTGATGGACTTGATTTATTCATGATTTTTTATGCAGTTTTTGTTGAGATATGTTCACATGTTACATCACAATGGACTATAATGAATCATGAATGACATGATTTATAAGATAGAACACCTTGGATTATAGATTTTGATTAGATTCCATTAGGCCAGAAATACCTATGGATTTAGAAAAGAGAGAAGAAGTAAGCAGCAAAAATGTACATATACAGTATGGAATTTACAGCTTCTGGAGGAAAAACTTGGTAATATGAGCTGGTCTGGTGTAGTATGAGTATATATGCATGGTGTTCCTTCTTGGTAAATTGATGATACTATATAGCAATAGAAAATGATGTAGAACTCAACTAGTAGTACATAAGCAACATAATTTCAATAAGACTTACTCAATATGTATGGGTTTCCAGTAAAATGTGGAAGATGTGAATGAAGACTTTGGCTTGCTGGTTTGGTTTGATCAACACCGGGTCAGCAACGCAACATTTAGCTGTTGCGTGCCGGTGCGCTGCTTTTTTTTTGTTGAGCAGCGCACCAAATTTTCCTGGGACCTGTAGCTCCCTGGTCCGCAACGTCACGGACCTCCGGGAAAACCCCAAATATGATATCCGACTCGTTACAGGTGAGGTAACGCCCGAACCGTTACCGTAACTGATGTAACGGGGCCCAAATCCCGATCTAGCCTAATCAAAGCAAGGGTGACCAAAGCAGGAAAAACACCCTGCATTGATCCCCCAAAACCGCCATCAGACCCAATCGAGACAGTTCCTCACCAATGTGGATACCACATCTCCCGATGTGGTCTAGTCGGCAACACCGTCGCGCGATAGAGCCAGGGGTCTCGAAGTTCTATTCAAAGTATGGTAAGATCTCTTCCCTCCTTTTGTTTCCTCCGTTTGCTTTTCTAACTGCTTCATCCAAAGACTGATATCCTCACACCTTTTTTCACCTTTCATCTCATTCCCTGATCGATCTTTTCAATTATCTCTTATTTTTGATTCCACTCCCATTCCTACAATTCGTATCATCCAAAAGTAGTGATCTCATCTTTCGAAATCATGTCTTCTGTTACCTCTGAACGACCTAGACGCTCTCGCAAGCAAATCACCTCACCTGGCATGATAGCACCATCCACGGATTCTCGTCGACGCCTTTCACTCGACAGTAACGCCTCAGCCCAAGTCCAATCCCGAAGCAAGCATACGAAAAGTACCCATGATTTGCCTGCCACTTCCAACTCCGAAAACGAGCCTACAGTTGTCAAGAAACGAAAGCGAGTTGCAGTTGTGATTGGAGATACATCGGAAGAAGAAGAAGAGGAGACTGCTGCCAGAAAGACTCGGAAAAAGAGTAAGAAGAGCAACACCAAACCTAATCGCAAACCAACAAATCAATCAAAGGGTTCTTCAAAGGATAAGGTGTGTACTGTACCTACCTGCTTTGTTATTCTCTCTTCCACTGATACTGATGACTCCTCGATCCATCTTTCTACATTTAGCACTTATCCAAAAACGTCACTACTGCCATCTTGCGAGCCGATTCAGGTGAAGAGGACGAGGTTATAGCTATTAAGAGCCAAAAACTTCAAGACAGTCGAAGCGAACTAGATAAACTTCGGGCCTATTTTGATGCTCCCATCTACGAACTGAAGGATGTGAGTGGCAGCTTCTATGTTCTCACATCCTTACTCAGTGTCATCTAACGTCTTTTTACATCTTCTTGAAATTGTTGTTCATACTTGGGATGGGATGGATAGGATAAAAACAAGCCTCCTATCGCGTATCCGTGCAAATATTGTCACCGTGACAAGAAGAACCCTGTGCGGGTTAGCTACACAAACATGACAGGTAATCTTAAATCACATTGCAATGGATATACGCAGGATGGACGTTCGGACAAAGGTTGCGAAGGAAGACTTAAAGCTCGAGCGATGTTCCCCGATTTAGTTCCTCTTTCGGTTTCTGAACAAAGAAAGCTAGCTGCTGCCAAGGGATCTGGCACCCTAGACTCCTTCGTGGTTGCTACACCTCACGTCTCTTACTCGAATCAAACACTTAATCAAATGGCTGCTTTATGGCTTATTCGACACGCACAGCCTTGGAGTCGGATGGAAGATCCGATTCTTCGTGGAATGATTGGGTACCTTCGAAAGGAAGCCAGCCTGAATGGACGTCGGTGGGCTGCAGATGAGGCTAAGAAGATTAACGTATCACTCAAACAATCAGTGTTTGCTGAATTAAAGGTACAGTTTCTTATTTTAAATTCCATTTTCAATTCTTTGTTTTGATTATATCTAGTTTTCAAAGCAGACACTAATGAATACATTTCTTCCTTTTCAAATTGTAGGCTCTGAAATCGAAGTTCAACCTCGTGCATGACGGTTGGACGACGAAGGGGAACCGTCACGCCTTCATTGGGGCATCTGTGACATTCATTGACGACCAGTGGACATATCGAGTCCGGCACCTCACCATGAAAGTTGTCACATGGCATCATCATGGGCCATGGCTGGCTGAGCCTATGGTCCACCTTTTGGTTAAATGCGATATATTTCAAAAGATAAGTGTTGATACTTAAGTTTTATTATAATAACTTGTACTGACAAAAGTTTTTATGTTCACACTTGCTTTGCCAGACAACAGACTCTGGGTCTAACAATAAGACGATGGCAAATGAAATGCACCGTCAATTTGTAGAGCAAAACAACCCGACTTACAACTGGAATCCTCAGACAATGCATGTGTTTTGTTTTTGCCACAAGTTGGCATTAATCGTCAATGCGGGTTTAGCTGCTCTAGGCGTGAAAGCTCCTCCTCCCATTAAGGTGAAGGAGGCTGACCGTGGTCATTTCCCTGTGATTGGTACAATACTTGAAGAGGACGAGGAAGAAAGTCAAACTGACCTTGCTGAAGCTGACGTTCCCGAGCACGACCCAAATGAAATCGACAGCGATACGGTTGTTGAAGAGGTTGTAGCAGAACTCGATGATGAGGGTGAGTGGAATCTTGCTGATGAAGAGGAAGAAGCGTTTCCAGAACTAGCATCTGTGGCCAAAGATGTTCAACCAACGCACCGTCGTGAGGCAAACAACGTGGACTTTGTATTACACAAAGTAAGTCTTTCGTTTTCGTTCTCATTGTGAGTAATTACATCACTTATTACTTCTTTATCAATCAAACAGGTCGACTTCATTGTCCGCCGAATCACTCGATCTGCAGCCTGGCGAGCTGAATTCAAACGTGTGGCTGCTGCGAAAGGTTTCAATGGCACATTGATCGCGGGCTACGGGATACGATGGAACATCAAATATCAGAGTCGACACAAAGCCTGGCTAGCCAGATCGGTCAGTTTCATTTCATTAAGTTAACTCATGTATTTTGATATAACTTGACATATTATTTGATGTCACAGGTCATCGACGAGCTTTGCCGAAATGATTTGGACTTGGTGCATTCAAAAAATCGACCAGCTCGCAAGAACAAAAAGCCATATGGCTATTTTCATGAACTTGAGATGACCACATCTGAATGGGCTCAAGTGCGTAAAATCAACAACGAATTGGAGGTATGTGGCAGCTTTGATCATTCTGATCCTACTTAATAATTGTTTTTTTCTCACTTTTATTGTTTTCTTTTCAGCCTTTCCTCAAGACAACCCTTTTGATGGAGGGGGATGGACCAACAGGGTGTATGGTCATCCCCCAATATGTCGAACTCCGTAACGCACTCGAAAGAAAGATCGAACCGCTCAGCACGACCGATGCAATTTATCCAATGTTAGCTCAAATGAAGGAGAAGACAATTGAGTATATGAACGAAGCACTTTCTTGTGAAACTCTGGTATTGGCGACTCTACTTCACCCGTTTTTCCGACTAAAATTTTTTGCAAGGTGGTTTGGAGAGTTCTCAGCGGTAACTATGAATGCTGAGGCACTGCTACGACGTATTTATTGTGCATATGATCTTGATAATCCGAACAAGAACAAGTCAATCTCGAACCGGCGGAATACTCACTCTCAAACCCCGGTGACCTCTTCACCACGACCCGATATTTTTTGTGAAGACTCTGAAGAAGAAGGCGATGTTCAAGAACCCGAAGATAATCAGATCAAGAACTATCTACAGAGAGTAGATAGAATGAAGGTTGAAGATTATAACGTACAGGATCCTTGTGCCGCTCTTATATGGTGGAATGTGAGTAGAGTAGTGTAACTTTCATGCTACCTTATTGAGCTCTTGGATCGAACTGTTAATCGAAATTCCTTACTTAGTTGCACGCAAATTCCTATCGAATCTTGGCTATCATGGCAAGGGACTACTTAGCTTCGACCGGTTCATCATGCGCCCCGGAGCGCATCTTTTCCTGCGCCTCTGATGTCTGTGCCTCTAGCCGAGGGGCCTTGATTGCTAGGACAATTGAGAGGCTTGTTTCCAGTAGATTGTGGTTGAGGGAAGGGGTGGAGCTGGGTGTGGAGTACAAGGATCTTGCGCACGTTTTGAAAGTTTTGGGGATAGAAATGAAATGAAATGGGTTTTCTTTCTTATTTAGATTCTTTTTCATTTTTTCTTCTTTAATCAGTTTATATTCAACCTCTATTTAATGTTTCTTTTTATATAATTGGGATTTTTATAATTCCTATATGTTTCAATCTCTCTCTATATTTCTACTTTTTTTTCTTACTTTCAATGTTTATATTGCACGTTTCTTTCTGCAGGGTAGCGTTGTTGCGCTGCTGTAGCGTTAGTTTTTGGAGTAACGCTACGGTCCCATGGATCATGGTGATTTTTTGAAAGCGCTTCGTTAGCGTTTCCTAACGCGTAGCACGTACACCTTTTGAGCAACGCAACGTAAAACACGCCTGTAGCGTGTTGTTGCGTTGCTGACCCGGTGTTGGTTTGATCCAAATAAAAACACCAAGAAGAGATCTGATGGAAGATAACAAAGATTGAAATAGATTTTGGAGAATCATTCCGATATTGGATTATCAAACACCAAGAAATCTCAAGACCACAAAGTTGAAAGCACCCTGATATGACCATATAGATGATGAATGAGATGAATCAGTCTTATCAATGTCTTACTTCCTTCTCACTTAAATTTAGCATCAATGAACCAGAACTGGCATGTATACATATGAAGATACAATTGGCAAGTGGACAATGTGGTGGTGAGTTTGTTTACCATTTGCTACATATTCACACTTCCCTTAGCATGAGATAAACTTAAACAGATTTTTTATTCCAAAATCGCTCAAATATGTGCAATATTCTGATGATTTGACATGCACCTTTATGCACAGCGTGTTTTGCCATATCTTGTTGAGATGTGTGGAGTATAGCAGGTATCAAATGTTGATTCAAATTGTTCAGGATTCAATGAAAATTCCTCAGCAGAATATTCAAAGTTATCTCACACCAAACCCACATCAATCACATGTGGGTTGTCAAAACTGTATAAAAGCTGCTGACACATGTAGAAGGCTCCAAAACTATCCAAAAAAATATGCAACACAACAAAGGATGTGACATTGTCTGGGCACTTTTTGGAGACACTCTGTCCAAATTTGATGCATTTGTGACCCACAATGCATTTGCAATTTATGAGGCAAACAGAGAGAAACTTTCAATGTTATACTTCACATCAATCCAAGACAAATAAACCACAAAGAACCAAAAAAAATAACCACACATCACAAAGGGAATTCCTGATCTGTCTTTATTTTTCCACATATTTTGAACTCCTTTGAGCTTTCAAAGACCAGAAATTGCATCAAAAATTGCTGCCTGAGTTGATGCTGAGTAAAATGCTTGAAGCAACTCAAGAGCATTGTAATTCTCCCTAGATTTGTTTTCTGAAAATTTGTGCTCACTGAATTTGAAATTTGACTTGAGTTGTAGTAGTTTACTGTGGCACAGTCTGTATGTATATGTAAATTTAGGATTTTACTAAAAGCAGCCCCCCCTTGTGAGGGTTGACCGCCCCCTTTTAGCTGGGGAAACAAAAACAATAATTGTACAATACAAACATGGGATAGCAAGGGGGCGGTCTTGGTAGGTCTTGGTCCTTGGACCGTCTAAAATTCAGGTGAATTGAAACCGTTATGTGAACTCTCATATGCATGATCATTCTGGTTCACAATGCATTGGAAATTGTGTGCTGGTTCCCAGGGAAAAAAGGTGATTCGCCAGCTACAAACGGACATCATCACAATAGCTGTAAGGCTACGTTTGGATTGTGGAGGCAATACCGGAATCACTCCACTCAAAGGTGCGGGAGCGGAGTGCGTGCGGAGCGCTTTCTTTGGCGCACCCTGCACCGCGCATTGGCGCGGTGACACCGCGCCGCTCCCTGGGACCAAGATTTCCTAGAGCGGAGTAACCGCTGCGCTGCCCGGCCCTGGTATGCGCTCCCCGCTCTATAGAGGGGAGCAGAAACCCTGTACCCAGGGGCCAAGATACAGGCTCGTACAGGCTTCTTTCCACTCTAATCAACTCCCATCCTTTCGAACACCAACAGTCCACATCCACACCACATTGTGGCGCTTCGACCGATTGGGAAATATGGACCACCCCTGGCTAGTATCTCGACTACGGCTGGCCTGTGGTCGTTCATTTTTTTGGACGTCTTGGTTTAAAATACTGATTAGTTCAGTTCGGTCATTCAATCCAATTTTGATTCAAAAAACAAAAGACTTACCTGATA